GGGGGGGGGGTATAGGTTAGGCCCTGGATTGATAAAATGGAGGCCCATACAGGGGGGGGTATAGGTTAGGCCGTGGATTGATAAAATAGAGGCCCATTAGACATGTAAAATAGACAGTAATCTGTATAATTGAATGTCTGTGAAGTGTATGATGGGTGCATTAATAGTGTGCAGATATTTCTATCAGCGAGTTTAGTTTTTGATATACAATTTGAAAATAGTTTGATGATATATGATATCACCACAATGCTTTGTGTACTGCTGTGTTCTCTTACCTCAAAGTCAAACTATTTACTTTTACCTCCCAGTTACAATCCCAGTAAGATGTCACTATATAGATATACAATAGTATAGGCCACATTCCTGTTCCTGATGTCAAAGTGGAATTTTAAATATCTCTTTTTATGGATTGATTTATAGAATTTAGAAGCAGGCAAGGCCTATTGAAGTATTCTGTAGAGCAATTCTTTAATAGCGTTTGTTTCAAATGGACCAAAAATCAATAAGATCTAACGAAAGAGAAAATATACACATCCAATAAAAGAGTTTGTTTTATCCATAGCTGATGTACTGCTGTAATGAATAAGAACAAAATAGCTTTGGCTAGTCTGATTTATGAATTGATTCCCGTTAAACATTGCTGCCATCTTTTACAAGTGTGATGAGCTTTATGTTGCTGTGGAGATCCTTGGGATGCAGTATATCTAGGATCTATTGGAAAACCTTGGTGTCCCGACTTGGCAGAGTATCAGTAGCCTGGTGATTGACCAGGGATGATCAGATATGTCACAATCTCTATAGTCAGTGCATAGATGTATAAAATTGGTATAAGCCCATGGGGAAGTTCCTATCAGATCACTATTGTTTTTCAAAGACGGTCTGGAGAATAGGAAGAAAAAATTTTCTGAATGGAAAAGTGAAAAGTTTATAGGATGAGAGCCTGGAGTTTCTATTCCCAGCTTATATATATATAGCATTAATGTATTGTGGTTGTAGAGGTATATATCACCACCCTCACCACTAACTCAGCATCGTCTATCTCCCCCACATGTTACAGTAATCAAGTATATTGTAGAGGTATATATCACCACCCTCACCACCATCTATCTCCCCCACATGTTACAGTAATCAAGGATATTGTAGAGGTATATATCACCACCCTCACCACTAACTCAGCATCGTCTATCTCCCCCACATGTTACAGTAATCAAGGATATTGTAGAGGTATATATCACCACCCTCACCACTTACTCAGCATCATCTATCTCCCCCACATGTTAGAGTAATCAAGTATATTGTAGAGGTATATATCACCACCCTTACCACTTACTCAGCACCATCTATCTCCCCCACCTGTTACAGTAGTTAGGTATATTGTAGAGGTATATATCACCACCCTCACCACTTACTCATCATCATCTATCTCCCCCACATGTTACAGTAATCAAGGATATTGTAGAGGTATATATCACCACCCTCACCACTAACTCAGCATCGTCTATCTCCCCCACATGTTACAGTAATCAAGAATATTGTAGAGGTATATATCACCACCCTCACCACTAACTCAGCATCGTCTATCTCCCCCACATGTTACAGTAATCAAGAATATTGTAGAGGTATATATCACCACCCTCTCCACTTACTCAGCACCATCTATCTCCCCCAGATGTTACAGTAGTTAGGTATATTGTAGAGGTATATATCACCACCCTCACCATTTACTCAGCACAATCTATCTCCCCCACATGTTACAGTAGTTAGATATATTGTAGAGGTATATATCACCACCCTCACCACTTACTCATCATCATCTATCTCCCCCACATGTTACAGTAATCAAGTATATTGTAGAGGCATATATCACCACCCTCACCACTTACTCAGCACCATCTATCTCCCCCAGATGTTACAGTAGTTAGGTATATTGTAGAGGTATATATCACCACCCTCACCACTAACTCAGCATCGTCTATCTCCCCCACATGTTACAGTAATCAAGGATATTGTAGAGGTATATATCACCACCCTCACCATTTACTCAGCACAATCTATCTCCCCCACATGTTACAGTAGTTAGATATATTGTAGAGGTATATATCACCACCCTCACCACTTACTCAGCCCCATCTATCTCCCCCACATGTTACAGTAGTTAGATATATTGTAGAGGTATATATCACCACCCTCACCACTAACTCAGCATCGTCTATCTCCCCCACATGTTACAGTAATCAAGAATATTGTAGAGGTATATATCACCACCCTCACCACCATCTATCTCCCCCACATGTTACAGTAATCAAGGATATTGTAGAGGTATATATCACCACCCTCACCACTTACTCAGCACCATCTATCTTACCCACATGTTATAGTAGTTAGGCATATTGGCCATATTCCATGTATTTTTGTTGTTACCTCAAAGCATTTTGTATTTAAAACAGGAACAGCTCTAATTTTTCCACTAAAACTTATATTCCTTGGCTCAGAACCAGCATTTCTATTGAATATTCGATAGAGAATTATCATTATAAACCTGAGAATTGTACGAGATAGAATTGTCCTGGTATAAAGTTTTATTACACACACGCACGGAGAACTGAAATGAATGTGTTTTACAAGTGTTCAGCCTAAGGGTCATTAGAACTGTGAGGAATCAATTAAAACAAACATAATACCACACCGTCAATACGCTATAACAAAATCCTAACCAAATTAAGTTCAAAATAATACTTCAGACAGGAGGAGACAGTTACAATCAAAAGGTAAAACATCATGTCGACATAAAAAACCCAAAACAAATAGATTATTCTGAGACTTATACGTGCAATGTGTCCAGGGTCTAGTCTTTTGAAAGGAGATAAAACGGAAAGAGCTTGTTCACAAACAATGCAAAAAGTCCTTATTTCCAGATCCATATGTTGAAATAAAACTGATGCCTATATGATCAATTTCTTGTATGTATTTTCCCCTATTTCTAAGGGACAAGACCCCCCTCCGAGGTACAGTAGTATGTTACTTTAGAGAGTTTAATTGATTGTAACAGAATTAGTATCTCCGTCACCCACCTTACCTACGAGTTAGGCTCCCACTGAAGATTCAATTACTTCACAGGTTCTTTATAAGGGTATTTTGGTTCCCTTATCCCGGCTAACTTCAAAAATTGAAAATTGGAACTTTTTGGTTTATTGATTTAAAGTGATCCCATTTGGAAATTCTTAAGATATATGTTTTGCAATAGGAAGATCAAGGCCAGACCCTTAAGAGATGTTACAGTCAGTGTCAGCAACATTAATATATGTTACAGTTGGTGTCAGAGACATTGATATATGTAACAGTGTCCGAGACATTGATATATGTTACAGTCAGTGTCCGAGACATTGATATATGTTACAGCCAGTGTCGGTGACATTGATATATGTTACAGTCAGTGTCAGAGACATTGATATATGTTACGGTTGGTGTCAGAGACATTGATATATGTTACAGTCAGTGTCAGAGACATGATATATGTTACAGTGTCAGAGACATTGATATATGTTACAGTCAGTGTCAGAGACATTGATATATGTTACAGTGTCAGAGACATTGATATATGTTACAGTGTCAGAGACATTTATATATGTTACAGTGTCAGAGACATTTATATATGTTACAGTGTCAAAGACATTGATATATGTTACAGCCAGTGTCAGAGACATTTATTTATGTTACAGTGTCAGAGACATTGATATATGTTACAGCCAGTGTCAGAGACATTTATATATGTTACAGTGTCAAAGACATTGATATATGTTACAGCCAGTGTCAGAGACATTTATTTATGTTACAGTGTCAAAGACATTGATATATGTTACAGTCAATGTCAGAGACATTGGTTACAGTGTCAGAGACATTGATATATGCTACAGTGTCAGAGACATTGATATATGTTGCAGTTGATGTCAGAGACATTGATATATGTTACAGCCAGTGTCAGAGACATTTATTTATGTTACAGTGTCAAAGACATTGATATATGTTACAGCCAGTGTCAGAGACATTTATTTATGTTACAGTGTCAAAGACATTGATATATGTTACAGTCAGTATCAGAGACATTGATATATGTTAAAGTGTCAGAGACATTGATATATGTTACAGTTGGAGTCAGAGACATTGATATATGTTACAGTTGGAGTCAGAGACATTGATATATGTTACAGTTGGAGTCAGAGACATTGATATATGTTACAGTTGATGTCAGAGACATTGATATATGTTACAGTTGGAGTCAGAGACATTGATATATGTTACAGTTGGTGACAGAGACATTGATATATGTTACAGTCAATGTCAGAGACATTGATATATGTTACAGTCGGTGTCAGAGACATTGATATATGTTACAGTTGATGTCAGAGACATTGATATATGTTACAGTTGGAGTCAGAGACATTGATATATGTTACAGTCGGTGTCAGAGACATTGATATATGTTACAGTTGGAGTCAGAGACATTGATATATGTTACAGTTGGGGACAGAGACATTGATATATGTTACAGTCAATGTCAGAGACATTGATATATGTTACAGTTGGAGTCAGAGACATTGATATATGTTACAGTTGGAGTCAGAGACATTGATATATGTTACAGTTGGAGTCAGAGACATTGATATATGTTACAGTTGATGTCAGAGACATTGATATATGTTACAGCCAATGTCAGAGACATTTATATATGTTACAGTGTCAAAGACATTGATATATGTTACAGTCAGTGTCAGATACATTTATATATGTTACAGTCAGTGTCAGAGACCTTGATATATGTTACAGTGTCAGAGACATTTATATATGTTACAGTCAGTGTCAGAGACATGATATATGTTACAGCGTCAGAGACATTTATATATGTTACAGTGTCGGAGACATTTATATATGTTACAGTGTCAAAGACATTGATATATGTTACAGCCAGTGTCAGAGACATTTATTTATGTTACAGTGTCAGAGACAATGATATATGTTACAGCCAGTGTCAGAGACATTTATTTATGTTACAGTGTCAGAGACAATGATATATGTTACAGTGTCAGAGACATTGATATATGTTACAGTTGATGTCAGAGACATTGATATATGTTACAGTCAGTGTCAGAGACATTGATATATGTTACAGTGTCAGAGACATTGATATATGTTACAGTGTCAGAGACATTGATATATGTTACAGTGTCAGAGACATTGATATATGTTACAGTGTCAGAGACATTGATATATGTTACAGTGTCAGAGACATTGATATATGTTACAGTGTCAGAGACATTGATATATGTTACAGTGTCAGAGACATTGATATATGTTACAGTGTCAGAGACATTGATATATGTTACAGTGTCAGAGACATTGATATATGTTACAGTGTCAGAGACATTGATATATGTTACAGTGTCAGAGACATTGATATATGTTACAGTGTCAGAGACATTGATATATGTTACAGTGTCAGAGACATTGATATATGTTACAGTGTCAGAGACATTGATATATGTTACAGTGTCAGAGATATTGATATATGTTACAGTGTCAGAGATATTGATATATGTGACAGTGTCAGAGACATTGATATATGTTTCAGTGTCAGAGACATTGATATATGTTACAGTGTCAGAGACATTGATATATGTTTCAGTGTCAGAGACATTGATATATGTTACAGTGTCAGAGACATTGATATATGTTACAGTCAGTGTCCGAGACATTGATATATGTTACAGTCAGTTTCAGAGACATTGATATATGAGTGTCAGAGACATTGATGTATATTACAGTGTCAGAGACATTGATATATGTTACCACCAATCTCAAAGTTAATGAAAGGCTTATTTTTTGTTACAGCAACTCCAGAGGCCATTGAAGAAATGCAACAGATGAGAGATGCATATCCTTTTTGACATAATATTTGTCCTGATTGAGATGTCTGACTTGTCAATTAGATGGCAGCCTTGAGCAAGCCTAAGAAGGTGGCCAGGAAACTAGCAAGTGTACAATAATGACTCGAATGATTAGACTAGACTATGTCAACTATATTTTAGTTTACTGTAATAAAATTAAAAGGCTGGGTTGGTTGAAATAATGCATGCTACATTATACCAACAGGACTGGGGATTTGCCATGTATATGTTATAGTGTTACAGGGAGCATACAGGGGATAAATCATAGTCCATCTGCCTGCCTGTCTGGTTGGTCCATGCACACCTTTATTTCTTCAAGACAGCTTGGTTAAATACCGTTCAATTTTGTTGAAACCTGGTTAACATGTATAATATACAAAGACTGAAGCTTGGTTCAAAGTTGATAAAATCCTCACATAATTGAGGAATGTACTGTGATCTGATTGGTTGATGGTTTCCACTCAATAACGTAAACAAATGTGTATGGACTCTTCCAAAATTCAATAAGTTATACAAAGACGAAGCTGACTTGATGTTGAAAAAAATTTCATCATAATTAATAAGAATACCAATTTCTGATTTGGTGACTGTTTCCACACAATGTGGCTGGATTTTGATGAAGCTTGGTCAATATTTATACTAAACGAAGTTCACATTTGAGACAGAGCTGCCTGCCAATTCATGAGCATTAATAATTTCTTCAGCTTTGATAGTTTAAAATCAATCCATCATTGGCAAATAAAGGAAATACCTATACATTCACTTTTTTTTAGTGATTATAAAAAAAATAAGCACATCCCAGAAATAATTCAGCTTTACCAAATAATATAGAGCAAGCATAGTTAGTGTCGGGCATCGTGATGTGGGTGCTTTATAGTAATCAGCTCCTCGGTCTGTCTGTCTACATTTTTTTCGCTTTCCATGCAATATCTTATGAAGGAATCATAAGATTTTTTATAAAACTTGGCTGGAGTAACCAAGTTTCTCGTTCAGGTTCGATGTTAGTCAAATTCAACACACATTTAATAAGGCTGCTGAGGTCTGACTGAAATCCTCAAATAAATGACCTTGACCCTACTTTCAAAATCACAAGAGTCAAATATATAAAAACCTTTCAAGAACTTCTTCTGAAAACTAACAGGCCTAGAATGACGATACGTGGCCAGTAGGGATCTGGCATGAAGTGCTATAAACTTTCCCCAAACAAATGACCTTGGGAATTCGCAAGGTCAGAAACATGGCGTGTTCTTGTTTCTTCATGTTAAATTTCAAAAGTTATTTATTTTCATGCAGGAAGGCATCAGAAGGATTCTAAGTATGTCTCTTTGATATGAGGTACAGATCCTGTGGTATTCTTGATAACTTGTCCTAAACATTTATGCAGTTTATAACATATTGAAATCACATTTTAAATAAAGGTAATCAGAGTAAAGAGACTTGGGATGTTAGTGTATGTAATCAGGATGTACGTATGTGTAATTAGGATGTAGGTATGTGTAATAAGGATGTAAGTATGTGTAATAAGGATGTAATTATGTGTAATAAGGATGTAAGGATGTGAAATAAGGACGTAAGGAAGTGTAATAAGGATGTAAGTATGTGTAATAAGGATGTAAGTATGTGAAATAAGGACGTAAGCATGTGTAATAAGGATGTAAATATGTGTAATTAGGATGTAAGTATGTGTAATAAGGATGTAAGTATGTGTAATAAGGATGTAAGTATGTGTAATAAGGATGTTAGTATGTGTAATAAGGATGTAGGTATGTATAATTAGGATGTAGGTATGTGCAATAAGGATGTAGTTATGTGTAATTAGGTTGTAAGTATGTGTAATAAGGATGTAAGTATGTGTAATCAGGATGTTAGTATGTGTAATAAGGATGTAAGTATGTGTAATTCAGATGTGGGTATGTGTAATAAGGATGTAAGTATGTGTAATAAGGATGTAAGTATGTGTAATAAGGATGTAAGTATGTGTAATAAGGATGTAAGTATGTGTAATAAGGATGTAAGTATGTGTAATAAGGATGTAAGTATGTGTAATAAGGATGTAAGTATGTGTAATAAGGATGTAAGTATGTGTAATAAGGATGTAAGTATGTGTAATAAGGATGTAAGTATGTGTAATAAGGATGTAAGTATGTGTAATAAGGATGTAAGTATGTGTAATAAGGATGTAAGTATGTGTAATAAGGATGTAAGTATGTGTAATAAGGATGTAAGTATGTGTAATAAGGATGTAAGTATGTGTAATAAGGATGTAAGTATGTGTAATAAGGATGTAAGTATGTGTAATAAGGATGTAAGTATGTGTAATAAGGATGTAAGTATGTGTAATAAGGATGTAAGTATGTGTAATAAGGATGTAAGTATGTGTAATAAGGATGTAAGTATGTGTAATAAGGATGTAAGTATGTGTAATAAGGATGTAAGTATGTGTAATAAGGATGTAAGTATGTGTAATAAGGATGTAAGTATGTGTAATAAGGATGTAAGTATGTGTAATAAGGATGTAAGTATGTGTAATAAGGATGTAAGTATGTGTAATAAGGATGTAAGTATGTGTAATAAGGATGTAAGTATGTGTAATAAGGATGTAAGTATGTGTAATAAGGATGTAAGTATGTGTAATAAGGATGTAAGTATGTGTAATAAGGATGTAAGTATGTGTAATAAGGATGTAAGTATGTGTAATAAGGATGTAAGTATGTGTAATAAGGATGTAAGTATGTGTAATAAGGATGTAAGTATGTGTAATAAGGATGTAAGTATGTGTAATAAGGATGTAAGTATGTGTAATAAGGATGTAGGTATGTGTAATAAGGATGTAAGTGTGTGTAATTAGGATGTATGTATGTGCAATAAGGATGTAAGTATGTGTAATAAGGATGTAAGTATGTGTAATAAGGATGTAGGTATGTGCAATTAGGATGTAGGCATGTGTAATAAGGATGTAAGTATGTGTAATAAGGATGTAAGTATGTGTAATAAGGATGTAAGTATGTGTAGTAATAATGATGTTAGTATGTATAATTAGGATGTAGGTATGTGTGATAAGGATGTAAGTATGTGTAATTAGGATGTATGTATATGTAATAAGGATGTAAGTATGTGTAATTAGGATGGAAGTATGTGTAATAAGGATGTAATTTTATGTAATTAGGATGTAGGTATGTGTAATAAGGATGTAAGTATGTGTAATTAAGATGTAAGTGAGTGTAATTAGGATGTAAGTTTATGTAATTAGGATATAAGAATGGGTAATTTAGAAATATGGTTGGCTTGGTTGCAAAAAAAGTCTGTTATTAAAACAGAGAAAACTTTATCAGATGTCCTTGTTATCACAGTAGTATGTGAACGTTAGTAGGGAAGTTACTGTAAGGTAAGGGCTAATTGTACTCTCCTTGACCACACTGTACATGGTTGTTAGAAATGTTCCAAGACCAGACTAAAGACCCAGCAGGACTGTTAGAGGAAGGAGACGTGGTCAATCTCATCAGCAAGCTTAACAGTAACATTTCTTCTGCCCGTATACACCAGAAACTTAAGGTAGGTCACCACAACTCCAACACAATAACTATTATCTTATTCCTTTAAAACTCACCATGAACTCATGCTTCAGGTTCTGATTGATTGCATGTTGATGGTCAGCTATATGCTGCTCTATAAAACATGAGGATTTGTTACAGCTATATATGCAATAGAAAATATTTATACTTAACTGTCAATAACTTTTAATTCTTTGTTGCTTTACTCCTAATATTGATCTGTCCAGGAATTTGAGCTGAAGAAGACTGATGGTAGCATGGAGGGCTGGACAAGTCCCCGGGGGAGGATACACAGTGACGAATTTGTAACCTTGTTCAAGGAATTGTCGACACGCCCGGAGATTTACTTTCTATTGGTTCGGTATGTAAATATATATATAGGAATTTCTTGTCCTGTTATAAAACACCTACAGTCATGTATGAACTAACCATGCAGACACCTCTGAATGAAGATCAGTATAAGAGTGACAACTGTAAACAACTTCCTTTATTTTGCTGTTTGGTATTCAGTAAGTATAGACATGCACAGCACCAATCTGATGCCAAGTGGCAACCAAATTGTACATAATCTTAAAAAATGTGTATACATATTTAATATATATAATTGTAATGATGTATTTCTATAAATGTATTGGGAGCAGTCATGAATTGTGAATTTTGGCTCACTTTATTAACAACTTAAACAAACATCATGTGTAGGCAAATATATATTCTTGATCCCTATATCAATTAATAATGGAAGCCAACACCCTGTCTTGATCCCTATATTAGTTATCAATGGTAGCCTACACCCTGTCTTGATCCCTATATTGATTATCAATGGAAGCCTACTCCCTATCTTGATCCCTATATTGATTATCAATGGAAGCCTACTCCCTATCTTGATCCCTATATTGATTATCAATGGTAGCCTACAACCTGTCTTGATCCCTATATTGATTATCAATGGAAGCCTACACCCTATCTTGATCCCTATATTGATTATCAATGGAAGCCTACCCCCTATCTTGATCCCTATATTGATTATCAATGGAAGCCTACCCCCTATCTTGATCCCTATATTGATTATCAATGGGAGCCTACACCCTGTCTTGATCCCTATATTAATTATTAATGGGAGCCTACATCCTGCCTTGAGAGGATTTCAACCAAATTTAGTCTGAAGCATCAGTAATGGAAGTGTACACCCTGTCTTGATCCCTATATTAGTTACCAATACCTACACCCCGTCTTGATCCCTATATTAGTTATCAATGGGAGCCTACAGCCTGCCTTGATCCCTATATTAGTTATCAATGGTAGCCTACTCCCTGTCTTGATCCCTATATTACTTATCAATGGTAGCCTACACCCTGTCTTGATCCCTATTCTATAAATGTATTGGGAGCAGTCATGAATTGTGAATTTTGGATCACTTTATTAACAACTTAAAAAAACATCATGTGTAGGCAAATATATATTCTTGATCCCTATATCAATTAATAATGGAAGCCAACACCCTATCTTGATCCCTATATTAGTTATCAATGGAAGTCTACACCCTGTCTTGATCCCTATATTGATTATCAATGGTAGCCTACACCCTGTCTTGATCCCTATTCTATAAATGTATTGGGAGCAGTCATGAATTGTGAATTTTGGCTCACTTTATTAACAACTTAAACAAACATCATGTGTAGGCAAATATATATTCTTGATCCCTATATTAGTTATCAATGGGAGCCTACACCCTGCCTTGATCCTATCAATGGGAGCCTACATCCTGCCTTGATCCCTTTATTAATTATCAATGGGAGCCTACACCCTGTCTTAATCCCTATATTAGTTATCAATTGTAGCCTACACCCTGTCTTGATCCCTATTCTATAAATGTATTGGGAGCAGTCATGAATTGTGAATTTTGGATCACTTTATTAACAACTTAAAAAAACATCATGTGTAGGCAAATATATATTCTTGATCCCTATATTAGTTATCAATGGGAGCCTACATCCTGTCTTGATCCCTATATTAATTATTAATGGGAGCCTACATCCTGCCTTGACAGGATTTCAACCAAATTTAGTCTGAAGCATCAGTAGGGATAGGCAATCATTTCTTAAATAAATGAGGTTGGTTTGACCCCTGAGGCCACGGGGGCGGGGCCCTGAAGGGGAACTTCGCTATATTTGCTTTAAAACGCATCTCCTCCTAAACGCCATTGATGATTTCAACTAAATTTAGCCTGAAGCATCACTACGGGAGGGCAATCATTTCTTAAATAAATGAGGTTGGTTTGACCCCTGAGGCCACGGGGGCGGGGCTCGAAGGGGAACATAGCTAAATTTGCTTTAAAACTTATATCCTCCTAAACACCAAAGAGGATTTCACCCAAATTTTGTCTGAAGCATCAGTAGGGATGGGCAATCATTTCTTCAATAAATGAGGTTGGTTTGACCCCTGAGGCCACGGGGGCGGGGCCCTGAAGGGGAACTTCGCTATATTTGCTTTAAAACGCATCTCCTCCTAAACGCCATTGATGATTTCAACTAAATTTAGCCTGAAGCATCACTACGGGAGGGCAATCATTTCTTAAATAAATGAGGTTGGTTCAACCCCTGAGGCCAGGGGGGCAGGGCCCTGGAGGGGAACTTAGCTAAATTTGCTTTAAAACACATCTCCTCCTAAATGCCTTAATTATCAATGGGAGCCTACATCCTGCCTTGATCCCTTTATTAATTATCAATGGGAGCCTACACCCTGCCTTGATCCCTATATTAGTTATCAATGGAGGCCTACACCCTTTCTTGATCCCTATATTGCTTATCAATGGTAGCCTACACCCTGTCTAGATCCCTATATTGATTATCAATGGGAGGCTACACCCTGTCTTTATACCTATATTAGTTATCAATGGAAGCCTACACCCTGTCTTGATCTCTATATTAATTATCAATGGGAGCCTACACTCTGTCTTGATCCCTATATTACATGAATTGTGAATTTTGGCTCACTTTATTAACAACTTAAAAAAACATCATGTGTAGGCAAATATATATTCTTGATCCCTATATTAGTTATCAATGGGAGCCTACACCCTGCCTTGATCCCTATATTAGTTATCAATGGAGGCCTACACCCTGTCTTGATCCCTATATTAATTATTAATGGGAGCCTACATCCTGCCTTGAGAGGATTTCAACCAAATTTAGTCTGAAGCATCAGTAGGGATAGGCAATCATTTCTTAAATAAATGAGGTTGGTTCAACCCCTGAGGCCAGGGGGGCAGGGCCCTGGAGGGGAACTTAGCTAAATTTGCTTTAAAACACATCTCCTCCTAAACGCCAAAGAGGATTTCAATCAAATTTAGTATGAAGCATCACTAGGGGAGGGCAATCATTTCTTAAATAAATGAGGTTGGTTCAACCCCTGAGGCCAGGGGGGCAGGGCCCTGGAGGGGAACTTAGCTAAATTTGCTTTAAAACACATCTCCTCCTAAACGCCAGAGAGGATTTCAACCAAATTAAGTCTGAAGCATCACTAGGGGAGGGCGAACTTTCCTTAATACATGAGGTTGGCTCGACCCCTGAGGCCAGGGGGTCGGGGCCCTGAAGGGGAACTTAGCTAAATTTGCTTTAAAACACATCTCCTCCTAAACGCCAGAGAGGATTTCAACCAAATTAAGTCTGAAGCATCACTAGGGGAGGGCGAACTTTCCTTAATACATGAGGTTGGCTCGACCCCTGAGGCCAGGGGGTCGGGGCCCTGAAGGGGAACTTAGCTAAATTTGCTTTAAAACACATCTCCTCCTAAACGCCAGAGAGGATTTCAACCAAATTAAGTCTGAAGCATCACTAGGGGAGGGCGAACTTTCCTTAATACATGAGGTTGGCTCGACCCCTGAGGCCAGGGGGTCGGGGCCCTGAAGGGGAACTTAGCTAAATTTGCTTTAAAACACATCTCCTCCTAAACGCCAAAGAGGATTTCAACCAAATTTAGTCTTAAGCATCAGTAGGGATGGGCAATCATTTCATAAATAAATGAAGTTGGTTTGACCCCTGAGGCCACGGGGGCGGGGCCCGAAGGGGAACATAGCTAAATTTGCTTTAAAACTTATATCCTCCTAAACACCAAAGAGGATTTCACCCAAATTTTGTCTGAAGCATCAGTAGGGATGGGCAATCATTTCATAAATAAATGAAGTTGGTTTGACCCCTGAGGCCACGGGGGCGGGGCTCGAAGGGGAACATAGCTAAATTTTCTTTAAAACGCATCTCCTCCTAAACGCCAAAGAGGATTTCAATCAAATTTAGTATGAAGCATCACTAGGGGAGGGCAATCATTTCTTAAATAAATGAGGTTGGTTTGACCCCTGAGGCCACGGGGGCGGGGCCCTGAAGGGGAACTTAGCCATATTTGCTTTAAAACGCATCTCCTCCTAAACGCCATTGATGATTTCAACTAAATTTAGCCTGAAGCATCACTACGGGAGGGCAATCATTTCTTAAATAAATGAGGTTGGTTCGACCCCTGAGGCCAGGGGGGCGGGGCCCTGAAAGGGAACTTAGCCAAATTTGCTTTAAAACGCATCTCCTCCTAAATACCGGAGAGGATTTCAACCAAATTTAGTCTGAAGCATCACTAGGGGAGGGCGAACTTTCCTTAATACATGAGGTTGGTTTGACCCCTGAGGCCAGGGGGGGGGCGGGGCCCTGAAGGGGAACTTAGCTAAATTTGCTTTAAAAAGCATCTCCTCCTAAACACCAAAAAGGATTTGAACCAAATTTAGTCTGAAGCATCAGTAGGGGAGGGCAATCATTCTTAAATAAATGAGGTTGGTCGACCCCTGAGGCCAGGGGGTCGGGGTCCTGAAGGGGAACTTAGCTATATTTGCTTTAAAACACATCTCCTCCTAAATGCCAGAGAAGATTTCAACCAAATTTGCTCTGAAACTTCATTGAAGGAGGGCAATCATTTCCTAAATAAATGAGACTGGTTCAACCCCTGGGGCTAGAAAGACCCGGCCTCAAAGAGGAAAATTATCTAATATTTTGCTTTAAGACGCTAATATCCCCTAATTGCCTGCAAACATTTCTTAATTGAATGAGGTTGATTTGACCCCTGCCGTCCTAAGAAATGGTACAGGTAGATTATCATATTCTATGATGTAGTTTTCATAAATTGTTAAAAATTGGTTTCTAGGTTTATAAAAGCTTATAGCTGAATGAAAATTAAAGTATTGTCTAATTACACACTGTAATATGACATATTACTTATTTCAAAATCTGTTGACATGGCAACTCAATGGAGGCCCCTGATTAGTTGAAAGTCAGATATTGTGGTCCCAGTTGGGTTAGAACATAGATCTTGTCTGGATTTGAGGAAATTTCATATAAAGATGTACTAATGCATTCAGTTGTAATGACTTAAATATAAAACCAGGTGGGCGATACAGGTCCAATGGACCTCTTGTTGATATATTAATAGTAGTCTACACCCTGTCTTGATCCCTATATTAATTATTACTGGTAATGGTAGTTAACCTGCTCGCCCTGCTTTCATTCCATCAAGATAACAGCCTTCACCCTGACCTAAACGACTTTATTCTTGTTTCTTCTGTCTTCCAGATATGCAAGTAATGCAGACTACCTCTCAACAGATGATTTGTTACTATTTTTAGAAGCAGAGCAGGGGGTGAGTAATAGGTGTAGTCGTGCTGAGTGTCTAAATCTGTCTAGTGATAACAATGTTCTGTCAGGGGTCCTAATTTGTGACGTTATTTATTTACCCTTTCTAACCTTTTGTAATAAGTCAGTGGTTCAAGTTGAAAGCACTGATAGATTTATTTTACATTATAAGAACCAAATGGTATGTATAAACATCTGAGAATCGCATTCCCAGCTCATTATCTGTTATTGGTCTGGAGGTCAGAAAATTCTCTTGTTAGAGCTAATTATGAGGATGATAAAAAGACTATGGGTAGGCTCGGGTAGACAGAAGTTGTTTGGTATGTGAAGAATACCTTTGATTATGTGTCTGAGTACAGGGTAGGCTCAGGAAGACAGAAGTTGTTTGGTATGTGAAGAATACCTTTGGTGATGTGTCTGACTACAGGGTAGGCTCAGGAAGACAGAAGTTGTTTGGTATGTGAAGAATACCTTTGGTGATGTGTCTGA